GACAGTTGATCTTTAAATTTTGGGTTCTTAAAAATTTCCAAGTACTACTCAATCTTTTAAGTGTGTATCCACGTCTTTGACATGCGATTACTTATTAAGTACACCATAAGCGATTTCCTTGAGACCTTAAAGTATTTGTCTGGCTTGAGAACGTGATAGGGGGGGGGCCCCTAGGAGGGGTGTTTTTGGTGGGGGAGAATGCGATTTTGGGTTGGAAATTCCAAAAAACCTTTTTCAAAAGGGTGAAAAGACTTTTTTTTCCCCCTGTTTGAAAAGATTCCCCTTGGGGTGGGGAACGAGGAAATTTTGCAAAATTTAAACAATCCGGGAAAAGACATCTTTTAGGGAAGGTAACCCATTCCAAGGGAAGGGGAAAAACTAATAGTTTTTGATTTAACTTTCCAAAGCAATTGGAAGACATTTGTTAAAGGGAATTTGGGTTTAGTCCATTCAAGTGGGAAATTGGGGGTAAATGATAACTTTTCCCCTTAAGGGAATGGTTTACCTTTTTAACAAACAACAAAGCTTCTTATGGGATATGGGGGGTAGGGCTTTTTCCCAAAGGTAAAGAGACAGTGAAGTAAGGGGTTCCCGGTAAAATCCCAAACCCATGGTAGGGAAACTTTTCCGACGGGGGGTTTTAAACAAGGGCAACAAAGGTTTTTCTCTGGGAGCAGGAAAAAGGGAGCTAAAAAAGTCTTTGCCTTTTAAAATGGTGGAACAAAGATTTTCTTTCCAAAATTATGAAAAAGGGTTTTAAAGGAACCTGGAAAAACAAAGACCCCTTTGGAGGGACACCCAAAAACCTCTTTTGCAGGGAGGAAAAAAAGGGGGAACAAAGTTCCCAAAATTGTTTTTGGGGTCCCCGGGAGAAAAACTTTGAAAAGAATTTGAGGGATAGGTCACCTCAATAGTAAGGTGGTTTAACTGGGCCTTTTAATTGAAGTTCGGAAAACTAGGACGGATCCCAAAGGCCTGCCCGGGGGCCTCTGGAAAAACATGGCCGGAAGGACAGAAATGTTTTCGCCGGGCTTGGAAACCAAGTGGTAACCCCAAAATGGTGCAAGGCATCTTTTGGGAAAAAATTGAAATTAGCAGGAATTGCGGAAGAAAAACCCGTGGGTCCCGGGAAAAGGGGAATTGGGACACAAGGGGGGAAAACTGAAGTTTCCGGAAAAAAGGAGGGAAAGGGCCCGGACACCAGGTGAAACCGTTACCACTGAGGGGGGGGCCTGAGTCTTTTCGGAAAATGTTTTGGGTACCCCCCGGCGTAAAGGCGACCGGGGTCCAAACTGAACCCCAAAATGACGTTCGCACTTTGGGCCTTATGGGTTGGGGGGTTTTTTTTCAAAAAAAAAGGTAAGTCCGCAAAGAGCCCCTTCCCAAAATTCACCGAAATTTAAAATTGGGAAAAGGGGGAAAGGAAAACCCGGTGTTTTTCTCCCCTTTGATGAAAAAAGGGGGGGGGGGGAAATCCGCCCCGGCACACAATTTAAAACAGTTTCCCCCGAGGGGATGGTCTCTACGGAAGGTTATGGTAAATGTTTAAAACTGGACTATATAGACTGGGCCCCGATTAACAAATAGGATAAAGGGGTGACCATGGGGGGCCTGGTCAGGAAAGGCCAAAAAAAGGGGGGTTTATCCCCGAAAAATGGTCCCAAACCCTCAAGTCCTAAAGGAAGGGGATTCCCCTTTAAACAATAACAGCTTCCACACTCTTCCTCCCCCCCAATCCCCATCAAATTTATCACCAGTCTTAATAAAGGTAAGGGGTTATGTATTTTTAATTTTAGAGAATATTTTAAATTTGATGTTTCTTCAGTTTATGTGTATTAAAATTTAAAATTTTTATGGGTAAAAAATTTTTTTTTTTATCTTTTGGGGGGTCAGGAAGTATTAATTTGATTTCCATTATTTCTTATGGGGAAAATTAATTCGCCTTACGATAATTTGGGGTTCGAGAGCTCTCGGAACGATTTAAAATCATAAGGCGGGGATCATGTTTCACTAGTTGAAAGTAACACAATTATAGCAAAAAAATGTTCTCATAAAGTTTACAAACTTTTTTTACACAAAAAAAAAAATATAAAAAATTGTTTATACAAATTTTTCTATAATATATATACTATGTACAAACACTGGAGACTTTTCTAGAAATGCCCCGCAGTTGTGGAATTTTTGAATGGGGATAAGCAAATGGTGTTTTTCACTCCTACAATAAAACAAGTGGTGTGCATTTTTGTGGGTTTTGTGGTATGTCACGACAAAAAACCCCCTTTGGCATTTTTTTGGAGCAGCAGCGGCAGTGGGGGGGGTAGCATAACCCGGCCCCAGACGGAGGGGGTGTTTGATAATTTTTTTGGGCGCTGGTCTGTTGCAAATGTTGTTCCCTTTGGACTTGAATTTATTTTTTTGATGACGACAAACAAAATTCCCATTTTGGGGTTTTTTGTTTATCTTGTTTAATATTATAAGCATTCAGCATGGAAATGTCAAGAAGATGGAAAAAGAGTTTTATGTACCACTTATAACTCTTGCGAACACAATCAGCAAACCCAATCTGCATGTTACATTTGTCTACTAACTGCATATTGAGGTTGTAATCCATCACAGCTGCAGGTTTTACAATGGATTCATTGGTCTCTCTATTCTGCTTCCCACTGTCTACCATTTCATGTCGGTGAACTGATGTCAACAGTGTGACATCACATGTGTCATGCCACCGAAATGCCATGATGTCATTGGCAGCAAACACCTGAACATCACCTCTACGAGTGCCAGCGTCGAACCTAGGCATATGCTTACGATTTCCACGCACTGTGCCACACACATCTGTCATGTTCACTTGCAAGAAATCACTGAGTAAAGGGCTTGTGCACCAGTTGTCAGTATATAAAATAAGCCCCTTACCAAGATATGGTTCCCTCATTGTTCTAACCACATCACCAGAGATACCCAGTAACTTCCTGGTATCTTAGCAATGTTTTACTGCCAGTGTACACAATTATAAGAGATACCCAGTAACTTCCTGGTATCTTAGCAATGTTTTACTGCCAGTGTACACAATTATATCCAAAACCAGACCACTTTTGCAATCACACAGTACAAATAACTTTATACCAAAGCATTTCCTCTTGCTTGGTGTGTACTGCTTGAATGAGAGTCTTCCTTTGAACAAAATCAAAGACTCATCAATAACAAGCTTCCTGAAGGGATAAAAATAGATACAGCACTTTTGTTTCAGGTACATAAACACATTTCTGATCTTATATAAACTGTTGCTTCTGTCAGGCCTTGTTTTGTCTGAAAAGTGTAGCATACGTAACAGTAGCACAAATCTATTCACTGGTATAATGTCACTGAAAGCTGGGGTTGAAATCAGGCGGTGTGTCGACCAGTATGTGTTGACGCTGTGCTTATACACATGTGGCATAAGCATTATTGTGGCAAAGAACAGATATATCTCTGCCACAGTTGTGTCCTTCCACTTGTGTAGGCGTGATCTTGGTAAAAGAATTGTGTTTCCCATGGTGTACTCAAAGTATGTATTGCTTTCCCTGACAATAATGTCCATCAGGGGTTCATCGAAGAATAACTGAAAGCATTCCAGTTCAGTGGCATTATTCCCAAGTGTACATGATGGCCGTATTCCACTTTGTGTTTCATCAAAGTCATGGGGACTGGGAACAAACTCGTCACCTTGCTGCCAATCCCAGATGCGGTCAGCTGGTGGGTTCTGGATATTGAAACGTGGTTGTGGTTGTGCAGGTTGTGGTTGTGAATGTTGTGGGAGTGTGGGGTTGGGTGAGGCTGGTTGTGGTTGTGCAGAGTCAGCAGCGTCGGTAGTAGCGTGGCCTGCTGCTGGTGCTACATGACTCATGCCACCATCACTATCACCACCACCATCTGCTGCCTCACTCACATCATTCATACCCATCATAACAATATCATCATCTTCACTATCAGTTCATGGTGTAGGGCCACAGGATGTGCTCCGAGATTTACTCCTTCCCCTTGGAACAGCATATGACACACTACCAGATCGCATGCTACGTCGTATATACTGCTGCTTCACTGGGGAATATTCACCCTCACTGTCGCAACTAGAACTGCTTTCAATAGCTTTGAAATCACTATCGCTTTCACTGCTCACATCTGAGTCTTGTACACAGGCAAATAGTTTCCCCTTTCGTCCTGGTACAGGTGAACATGAATGAGCCGGCCCAGCACCAGAGGTGGAAGGTCGTGGGTCATCTGGGCTTTCATCACTAATTACGTTATCCTGGGCACTGTTTTTGGTCACACCCGCTTGAAAACCATGGAATTCACTTTCACTGACACTTCCATTGCTGTTAGAGCTATCACTTGGGAACAAAAGACCTCCAATTTGCCGAGGAGTGAGGTACTTCTTACCGCCAGGCATGGTGAAAATGGACTACCAAGATGGCATTCCCACAATGCACCACTGAGTCCCAGATTTTTTTCACAGGGTGCACACCCACCACTCAGACCCATTCTTTCTCATGTAGGCCTACCAGCCTTCCCCCGCTTGATTTGAAGCCACTAGAATTTATGCGTATAGATACGTCAAACACGGTGGCTCGTAAGATGTATATATATATATGACCAAAACAGTTAAGGAGTTAATGTAGATTCACTCATCTCTGATGCTCCCACTTTTAATGTAGATTTATTCATCTCTGATGCTCTCACCTTTAATTTAGCTTCACTCATCTCTCATGCTCCCTCTTTAATGTAGATTCGCTCACCTCTGATGCTCCCACCTCTAATGTAGATTCATTCAACTCTGTTGCTCCCACCCATAATTCTGATTCTCTCTTGGTGTCTTACTTGACACTGATTTGCTGCATCACTTGTGACCTCTTCTCTTCATTTTTGCCAAATGTCCTTTCCTCAATGCTTCCACCTGAATGACCTACAGGAGTTTAGCACTTTCTAAGAGTATAATAATAAAATGCAGCATTTTGTACTTTCAGATCATCAATGCAACTACACTAATGAGGTTACTACAGGTTGATCCCAATGTAACAAGTAGATCATCTGCTGGCCCATGTTACCTTATCTACTTTTTCAGTCCCTATTGTCCATTTTCTGTCATGGGGTCAGCATATGTCAATGCTCTTTCTCGTTCAGTGCCAAATATTCCTGTTTATGGCCTGGACAGCATTGAGCACCATAGGTAAGTTAATTACACACTTAAAATTAATATTGACATGTTTTTATAGGGGGATAAGTCTGTTGAGTATACCTGGTAAAGTGTATGGTAGAGTTATTATTGAAAGAATTAAGAGTAAGACGGAGAATAGGATAGCAGATGAACAAGGAGGCTTTAGGAAAGGTAGGGGGTGTGTGGACCAGGTGTTTACAGTGAAACATATAAGTGAACAGTATTTAGATAAGGCTAAAGAGGTCTTTGTGGCATTTATGGATTTGGAAAAGGCATATGACAGGGTGGATAGGGGGGCAATGTGGCAGATGTTGCAGGTGTATGGTGTAGGAGGTAGGTTACTGAAAGCAGTGAAGAGTTTTTATGAGGATAGTGAGGCTCAAGTTAGAGTATGTAGGAAAGAGGGAAAATTTTTCTCAGTAAAAGTAGGCCTTAGACAAGGATGTGTGATGTCACCGTGGTTGTTTATATATTTATAGATGGGGTTGTAAGAGAAGTAAATTGTGAGGGTCTTGGCAAGAGGCGTGGAGTTAAAAGATAAAGAATCACACATAAAGTGGGAGTTGTCACAGTTGCTCTTTGCTGATGATGCTGTGCTCTTGGGAGATTCTGAAGAGAAGTTGCAGAGATTGGTGGATGAATTTGGTAGGGTGTGCAAAAGAAGAAAATTAAAAGTGAATACAGGAAAGAGTAAGGTAATGAGGATAACAAAAGATAAGGTGATTAAAGATTGGATATCAGATTGGAGGGAGAGAGTATGGAGGAGGTGAATGTATTCAGATATTTGGGAGTGGACGTGTCAGCGGATGGGTCTATGAAAGATGAGGTGAATCATAGAATTGATGAGGGGAAAAGGGTTTAGTGGTGCACTTAGGAGTCTGTGGAGACAAAGAACTTTGTCCTTGGAGGCAAAGAGGGGAATATGTGAGAGTATAGTTTTACCAACGCTCTTATATGGGTGTGAAGCATGGGTGATGAATGTTGCAGCGAGGAGAAGGCTGGAGGCAGTGGAGATGTCATGTCTGAGGGCAATGTGTGGTGTGAATATAATGCAGAGAATTCATAGTTTGGAAGTTAGGAGGAGGTGCGGGATTACCAAAACTGTTGTCCAGAGAGCTGAGGAAGGGTTGTTGAGGTGGTTCGGACATGTAGAGAGAATGGAGCGAAACAGAGTGACTTCAAGAGTGTATCAGTCTGTAGTGGAAGGAAGGCGGGGTAGGGGTCAGGCCTAGGAAAGGTTGGAGGGAGGGGGTAAAGGAGGTTTTGTGTGCGAGGGGCTTGGACTTCCAGCAGGCATGCATGAGCGTGTTTGATAGGAGTGAATGGAGACAAATGGTTTTTAATACTTGACGTGCTGTTGGAGTGTGAGCAAAGTAACATTTATGAAGGGGTTCAGGGAAACCGGCAGGCCGGACTTGAGTCCTGGAGATGGGAAGTACAGTGCCTGCACTCTGAAGGAGGGGTGTTAATGTTGCAGTTTAAAAACTGTAGTGTAAAGCACCCTTCTGGCAAGACAGTGATGGAGTGAATGATGGTGAAAGTTTTTCTTTTTCGGGCCACCCTGCCTTGGTGGGAATCGGCCAGTGTGATAATAAAAAAAATAATAAAAATGTTTTTATACTGTGTTTTTTCTTTTAAGTTATTTGCTGCATATTTTTATCTGCTTTCTTGATATTTGGGATATTGCCCTCTTCTCTGGTCCACTAGAGACTGCTTTATTTGATCTAATATATTGTTAAGTATCTCCTAGGTTTATATTTTACAGGGGCTCAGCAGGTAAGTTATAAGGTGAAAATAAAGTTAACTGTTATTTCTTTTGATTTTCTCTATTTTAAAGCAGTTTTGGCATAGTTCAGAGATCGTATAGTAAGCATTACAGATTGTTAGGAACACTGATTAACCCTTAAATTAGTCATGATGTATTGTTTTTTACCACTTGACTGTTTCTCATCATAGTAAGCCAACTCCAGAGAAAACACATTGACCTTCATTTATCTAACAAAGGTGTTTTGCCAGAAGTGCTTGAACACAGTTCAAATAATGCTTCTATAATAATAATAATAATCTTTACTTGTACAAGTACATGTACAGTGTATACAGACCTAGCTGACATTAATGACATACTACTATATAGAAAGCCCTTGATTATGCATAGCACAATCCTCTGCATTAGCAACCTCTGAATTAGCAAGATGCCATAAAGTGAAGTGCTGTAAAGTGGGGCCCTCCTGTAATGTCTTTGCTGAATGCCGTTTTGTCATGGCTGCCGTCATTGACTTTGAGAAGGCTTATGGCACCACCTAGCAATGTAATTTGCCCCCAGTAATTTCTTCTTGGGAGGGGGCCTAGTTATGCTACTGATATTTTTTCAGAACTTTTTGTCTAGCAGCCCCTTTTTCTGTGTTAAAGTCAATAACAGTCTTTCTTCTGATCTTATGCATGGTGTGCCTCAAGTGAATGTGTTCAGTACCATTTGTTCCTAAGTACCCTCACTGAACTCGCTTTAGTCCTTCTTCATAGAATTTGGTTTTCATTTTATGTGGAGACTTTTGCCATGGTCTGTGCTGGCAGGCACTCAGAAGGTGATCACCTCATTGCAACATTTTATTAACCCTTTGACTGTCGAAGGGCCAAATCCTGAAGTTGCTTCTGGTGTCACAAAATATTCGAAAAAAAAAAAAATTATTTTTTCTTATGAAATGATAGAGAATCTTTTCCCGATTGTAAAGACACCAAAAAAACGAAATTTGACTTCGGCGATATTTAAAAATCGGCAATTTCGCCCACTTTGAGCCCTATTTTCGGCTAATTCCATTATTCCAGTCAACCAAACTCATAACTATTTCTTCAGAACTCTATTTTTTCTATCGATTGAGTACAAGAAACTGCCCATTTACCGATTTCAACTACCCAATAACATGGTCAGAAATTTGCAATTTGGCCAATTTCACGAAAATTAAAAAATACGACAATTTCAAAATAAGGTCCAGAATGAACAATGCAGACATTCCTGGCTCTAAAATAACATTTTCTTTGTTCATCAGTCATATCTCCAGGTCCCTGTGATATTACTCTTGCTTTTTATTTTGAAATTTTATTCAAACAAAAAATAGAAGATTTACTGTTATGCAGACTACTGCAATACTGTAATAATTGTAAAAATTACATCAACCCATTCATGACTGCGTATTAGAATGGCTATTTGGACATTTATTGGACAATGACATCATTTGTTCACTTTTGAACATCGGCAAAAATCAAACATTTCCTGTACTTTGTGCTCCATTTCCAGGTTCTTTTTATAGTAAAATTAATCAAAATCACCTCCATTTCTATAATATAGTTTCCATTCTATCAAATGAGACCAAGAAAACGAGAATACAACCACAAATACTATACGAAAATAGACCACAAAGTCGGCATTTTAATTAAAAAAAACGGTCGGAGTTTTTTTTTTCTCATTATGCACTGCGTGCTCCAGGATTTTTTTTATGTGGTGCACACTGACCACACAGACCCATTCTCTCACATGTGGGCCTACTAGCTTTCTCCTGCCTGATTTGAAGCCGCTAGAATTTATGAGTATATATACGTCAAACACGGTACCTCGCAAACGTATATATACGGCCGCGACAGTCAAAGGGTTAAAGGTACAGTACAATACTTCAGGTTATGCTTATTCACCTGACTTTAAGTTCTCAATTTCTAAAACTAGCTCTGTGCTTTTTCTTGATGCCTAGTCATCTCCTTTCTTTCAGTGTCCTTATATGGTTCTCCTATTACAGCTTGACAAGTAATTAAGTTTCTCTATCACCATTTTTATTATCATATGCTGTGGAAACATTAACTCTTTAGGATGAATATCATAAAAGATTAAAATAGCTGAAATTTTGTTGCACCATTCTTAAGGACTGATAGATGGACCTTGCTCCATCTGTACTTAGCCTTGGTCTTGTCCAAAATGACTGTTGGAATCAGGTATATCTGTCAGCTACTACTGTTTCTGAGCTAATTGTCATTCATAATCAGAAATTGTATTTATGTTTAAGTCTTTCAGTAATCCACATTTGAAAGCCTGTATGTAGTGCCTAATTTCTTTGTTATCATGTTCATTTTTATAATTTTTCGTGATCCAACAATCTATATAATTACAATGGATGTCAGTAAAGCTTTCAGATTTAATTGACACCCATGCTTTATTCTTATCCCTACAAACTCTTGTAGAATCCTGAGGCATGCATCCTCTTTCTGTTCTACCTATTCCTTACTTTTCCCTATTGCTCTGGGTAAGTCTTTGATTCAGGTTTGCCCTTCTCTTCTGACATTACCGGTCTCAAATTTTGACTTTGGAATTGTGCCTGCTCTTTCTTGATTATTTCAATAAAACTTTGATGCTACAGCTGTATATGCTGAAGATTTCACACCTGATGGAGTATGATATGCATTCTTCTTTCCTAATCCTACGATCCAAGGCCAGTAATCACAGATGACTTATAACTTCACAACAGACTTGTTTGCTCTTCTCGCTGCTGTTATCCACATAGTTACCATGATTGCCATATCCTTTTTCATAGCCTCAACTCTCTGAATACATTACAAGCAATTCATACCTATGATTCCTTGCATTCCATAGTCATTTGCATTCAGTGTTGGCTGTGCATTGCAGATGCTGCAATGCATTCTTCAGTTCAGGACCTTTCTGCCTTTTGCAAGTATTGACCATTCTTTGATTATTTTCCAGTTGTCACTCAACTCTTGCAATATTACTGGTAGCATCATTGATCCTCATTTGTGATGCTTTTTTCTTTCATCAAGTCACAATTGAGCTTTTAACCATAGTCCTTTCCTTACTTCCTCTATGTTGACCACACTAGACTCATGCATGGTCATCTCATGGAACATGTGTAGATCGATTATCTTATTCATCAAAGAGCATGCCAGCTTGGTTTCTGATGCCTTCTCCAATATCCTGTCTTGCTTGCTCTGCCCAACCTCTTCTCTGATGCACCCATATTTGTTTCAGATGCTCTTTGATTTCCTAACTAACACAGGTTTGCCTCATCAACTCTAACCATTATTCTTTCAGCTTCTTTCTCTCTTCATCCTCCATCTCTCTCTCCCTGTCATGCAACTTTGTGTGTAACCCTTATTGGTTTAGCACTTTCCACGAATATAATAATCATCCTCCCTGAGATACTTCTGGTTTCTTCTCTTCTTGCCTTTTTCAGTGCCCTGATGAGACTGCTTGCTTGTTTTTTGGCAGACTCTAAGAAAACATAAGAAGTGTTTGTTTTATGGACATTAACAAGACTTCTCCCTTATGTTAAAGACCATTCCTATCATATAAGTTGCCTCTTTGGCTAACTACTTATCCCTCTTCTAACTTTTACAGATTTCTCCTCTTATACTGAGCCTTTAAAACATTCCTTATCTGAATCTTATTCCTGGTATTGTTTCTGTTAGTGCTTGCCTTTCCCAGTACATTGTTAGATGATCTAATTCTTAGGAAACAGGTGACTTAATCTTACCTTGGTTGTCTTATCACCTCTTCATCTGACCTGTTATCTGGTTTTCACACCTTTTCTTGCTTAAGTATGACTTGATAATTATCCAAGGTACACTGAAATGTAATCATTATCATCTCCAAATTATTGGTTAACTGTGAATAATCACATTAGGCTGCTTAACTTTGTCACATTAAGCTACTTACAGTAATTATCTTTTTGCTTGGTGTTATCTAACAATTTTGTTACTGTTATTTAAGAATTTCATCATAAAATTTTTTTGTTTGATCTTTTCAGTGTAAATGCCCGTTATGGTGTCATGGGAACTCCAACATTACTTCTGTTTCATAATGGCAATGGAGTTGGACGATATAATGCCTCTGAATACTCCGTGGCCCAGCTGTTGTCTTTTATAAGGCATTATACAGACCAGGAAATTGTCAACATTAATGTCACTTCATCAGACTTCCGGGTATAGTTCATATATTAGGTAGATGTATTCATGAGTGGGATTGTGTGAATATTTGTGTTTGTGTGAGTGTGTATTTTTATGTTTTTTTTTAATTTACTTGTGTGTATTTGTGCATGCATGCTTGCATGCATATGTGTACATGCGTATACATAGAATTACCCACCACCTTACCTTGGTGGGAGATGGCTAGTGTGATAGAAGAACAAAAAGACATTGTCCTCTTTTAGAGAGGCATCCAAAGTGTGAGTGATAGTGGCTTTTTTTCTTTGGGGACACATTGCATAGGTTGGAAATGGTCAGTATAGTACTTAAAAAAATTATATCTTGCCCTAATCTACTCCTCCCATAGTTTATAAACTTTCACCTCTCTCTCTTACTTGGGAGAATGGTGGGCTAGTGGGAGTATAGGTAGTACAGGGGTTGAAGAGGGGTGGGTTAGTATTAAAAATGCAGTACAGTAAGGCCCCGCTTTACGGCGTTTCACCTTACAGCGTTCCGCTAATACGGCGATGTCAAATTATGACCAAAATTTGCTATACGGCAAGCGGTCTTTTAAATACGGCACCCCTCCACCCGGTTTGTTTACATTTTCCGTGGCCACATCTATTATGTCAGGAAACTTTCCAAAATTTCAAGTGTTTTAAAGTTACTGCTTATTTTATATGTACTCTGATAATTATACTTATGTGTACCTGTACCTAAATATACTTACACACTGTGCTGGTGTGCAGGTACACATTAAAATCGCTAAGTCTCTCTCTACTCATGACGCCAATATTACGTAATAATAATCACTCTTGGGCACACTAAATGTCTTATTTTACATCAATATAGGCATTTTCATTAATCCATCTATGATATTTTCCCCAAAATTATATATGAAACCATTACATATCATATAAACATGATATATACACTCAGAATAAAAACTGATGTAAATATGAGATTTGTTTACAAAGCAGCTGTGTAGGTGGTGTCGGAAGAATTACGTTTTCTCTAGTCAAACACTGGGGGGTAACTGTAGAAAAATATTCTTTTCGTATGCCTTTACTCTGTGTATAGCAATTCACGACCTTTGTGGGTTTAGTGCTTTTTATAATAAATAATAATAATAATAATAATTATTATTATTATTAATATTAATAATATATTATTATTATTATTATTAATATTAATAATAATAATAATAATATTATTATTATTATTATTATTGCTAATATTATTATCTTCATTCACTCTAAAAATGATGTGTTGCTGTTTGTTTATTCTGAACTAACTTGTACACAATGTAAGAGTATTTATATTGTGAGGTAATTATTATTAAAATAAAAAAATATTGGGGTAAATGTTTTACAAACTCTTACAAATGGACGTGAACGAACTAAAAGTAGACACATATTAATACGCATTTATTTCGCCTGACCAAGTGATCGTCCACTACCTGTTCAGTTTGTGTTCTTACATTGTCTCAACTCTGTATCTCGTTCTCTCTCTCATTTACTCTTTTGTTAACTAGTTGGCTATCATTGACGATGGCGTTTAAGGTTAGTTGTAATAAAAAGAGAAGTCGTAAGCCTCTTGCTTTAAGTGCCAAGTTAGAGGATGATGGTGTGCCATTCTGATTTTATTCAATAAACACCCTGCCACTCACCTCTCACACATTAATATTAATATTTTAAGGTAAGTAATAAGTGTACTCTGTGTGTATCTTACCTTTTATTGTGTTTTTAATGCCTATTTCTATTGCTAACTTAATATAAGTTAGTGTAAACTTCTTGTCTGGCATTTATTGCATATTTTATATGCTCTGATAATAATACTTGTGGAGCCGGGTGGAGAGACAACATTACGTTTTCTCTGCTCAGCCATCAGAGAAAACGTGTATGAATCTGCGTTTGGCCCAGCCACTTCCCCACTCTGCCTTTGTTTACAATTTTCAGCATGAATTATTCATTACTTCTACCTTCGTTAATGATGGCATCTAAAGGTAGTTGTTAGAAATGATTAAATTCAGTGAACAAGGAATGTCGATGTTAATAATATGGCTCTGGGCCACAGTGTAGGTAGCCGGTAGGTGTAGCCCAGGCTACACCTACCGGCTACCTACACTGACTTTATACAAATAAATACTACTCACTTCTCTTCCTATATTAAGACTACACATATTTTAAGGTAAATAATGAGTGTACTGTATGTGCATTTTACCTTTCTGGGATGTTTTAAATATCGTATATTAAGTATGAGACGGGGAGCCAGTGCTACCTACACCTGGGCTACCTGCATCTGACTTCCTACAAATATGTACTACTCGCCTCTCTCCCTACATTCAGATTACAAATACTTTAAGATAAGTAATGAATTTACTGTGACTGTATTTTACTTTGTGTGTTTTTAATGCCTAGTTCTATTACTAACTTAATATAATTTAGTGTAAACTTGTTGTCTGGCATTTATATGCATTTATAAATGGAAAAAATGGAGTTCTGCTTTCCGGCGATGTCTGCTTTCCGGCGACAGCCTGGAACCTAACGCGCCGTATAAGTGGGGCCCTACTGTATTAGAATGCAGGGCAGAAGTTTGTGGATAGAAAAAGGTGGGTGCTGGAGGAAAGAGGAGTGATTGGTGGAACGATGAGGTGAAGTGTGCAATAAAAGAGAAAAAGTTTGCTTACGAGAGGTTTTACAAAGCAGAAGTGAACGAGAAGTGAAGAGAGTTGTTAGAGAGTGCAGATGGAGAACAAATGATAGAGTGAGTGAGGTGCTGTCAACAAATTTTGCTGAGAATAACAAAAAGTTTTGGAGTGAGATAAATAGCTTAAGAAAGCCTAGGGAAAAACTGGATTTGACAGTTACAAACAGAATAGGGGAGTTGGAGGTATTGGGAAGATGGCAGGAATATTTTGAGGAACTGTTACATGTTGATGAAGAGAGGGAGGCAGTAATTTCATGCATTGGCAAGGGAGATGCGAGTGTAGGGTAGGTGTGCGAGGCATTGGGTAGAATAGAAGGATGTAAAGCAGCTGGAACTAATGGGATCATGACAGAAGTGTTAAAAGCAGGTAGGGATATAGTTTTGGAGTGTCTGGTAATTTTGTTCAATAAATATATGAAAGTGGGGAAGGTACCTAGAGACTGGTAGAAATCATTCGTAGTTCCTTTATATAAAGGGAAGGGGGACAAAAGAGTGTAAAAATTATAGGGGAATAAGCCTACTGAGTATACCTGGTAAAGTGTATGGTAGGGTTATTATTGAAAGAATTAGAGTTAAGACAGAGAGCAGGGTCACAGATGAACAAGGAGGCTTTAGAATGGGTAGGGGATGAGTAGACAAAGTGTTTACATTGAAGCATATAAGTGAACAATATTTAGATAAAAGGTAGGAAAGATTCATTACTTTTATAGATTTAGAAAAGGCTTATAATAGGGATAGGGGAGCAATGTGGGAGATCTTGCAAGTGTATGGAATAGGTGGTAAGTTACTAAATGCTGTAAAGAGCTTTTATGAGGATAGTGAGGTTCAGGTTTGGTTATGTAATGCCACCATGGTAGTTTAACGTATTTATAGATGGGCTTGTAAAAGAAGTAAATGCTAGGATGTTGGGGAGAGAGGTATGATTAAATTAGTAGGTGGATTTAAATACAAAATGGAGTTGACACAGTTACTTTTTGCTGATGATACTGTGCCTTTGGGAGATTCTGAAAAAAAATTGCAAAGGTTAGTGGACGAGTGTGGGAGGGTGTGTAAAGGAAGAGAGTTGAAAGTGAACATAAATAAGAGTAAGGTGATGAGGGTATCAAGCAATTTAGAAAGGAAAAATTGGATATCAGATTGGAGGGAGGGAGTATGGAAGAAGTGAATATGTTCAGATATGTGGGAGTAGACTTGTCAGCAGAGAAGTTTATGAAGGACGAAGTAAACCATAGATCTGATGAAAAAAAGTGGGTGGTGTATTGAGGTATCAGTGTAGACAAAGAACTTTAGAGTATAGTGGTTCCAACAATCTTATATGGGTGTGAGTATGAGTTGTGATTGTTGTAGCGAGAAGGAGGTTGGAGACAGTGGATATGTTGTGTCTAAGGGCAATGTGTAGTGTAAATATTATGCAGAGAATTCATAATGTGGAAATTAGGAGGAGGTGTGGAGTTATACTTCAAGCAGGCACTGGACAAGCACCTAAAGTCGGTATTTGACCAGCCGGGCTGTGGCTCGTACATTGGATTGCGTGCAGCTAGCAGTAACAACCTGGTTGATCAGGCTCTGATCCACCATGAGGCCTGGTCATAGACTGGGCCGCAGGGGCGTTGACCCCCGGAACTCTCTCCAGGTAAACTCCAGGGCTGAGGAGGGTTTGTTGAGGTGACCTGGTCATTTAGAGAGGCTGGTGCAAAATAGAATGACTTGGAGGGTGTTTAAATCTGTAGTGGAGGGAAGGAGGGGTATGGGTCATCCTAGGAAAGGATAGAGGGAGGGGGTAAAAGAGGTTTTGTGTGCAAGGGGCATGGACATATAGCAGGCATGTGTGAGCTTGTTAGATGGGAGTGAATGGAGTTGAATGGTTTCTGGGATTTGACGAGCTGTTGGAGTGTGAGCAGGGTAATGTTTTGCGAAGGGATTCAGGGAAACTGGTTAGCCAGACTTAATCCTAGAGGTGGGAAGTATAATCCCTGCACTTTAAAGGAGGGGTTTGGGATATTTGCTGTTTGGAGTGACTTCTAAACTGTCATATCTGAGTGGCTCTGCAAAGGCAATGATTGTGTGTAAATGATGGTGAAATTTTTTTTTTCTTTTTTTGGGTCATCCTGCCTCAGTGGGATATGGCCAGCATGTTAAAAAAAAAAAATTGTTGAACTTTTACTCAGTAAAAAATTAATATTGCAGTTGCAATATAAATGATGCTATGAATACAATTTTTTTTCAGGCCACCCTCCCAGCACAGGTAGCAGAAGGACGCCCATATGCCCTCTGGGCAGCATGGACATTTCTCATTAGCTTTGCTTCATGGTTATTCTTAACATCTGAAATATGTGCTAGACTTACTGAGGCAATATTAAACAACTGGCGAGAGGCTGAAGCACAGAATGACCACCAAGACTGATACTTGCTTTAGAATAAGAGAGCAAGTTTTCTTTAATTGTTGCAGAAAGGAAAAACAAATGTAATTATTTTAATCATTAACCCAAATTTAGAGAGGAAATTTAGCATTTTGGCTCATCCTGGATTATTATCAAGTCACAGTTGTTCATGACACTCTCAAATGTCATCTGGAGTTTTCTCCAAATTACAGGTTAATTGCAAATTATTTTTAGCCATGATATTGTGATTTATTCTTTTAATAAATTTGTATGTACAGTGGTACCATGACTTACGAGTGCCCCAACTTATGAGTTTTCCGAATTTCGAGTCATTGCTCGATCAGTTTTTTGCTTTCAGTTATAAGCGAGCTTCAGATACACTGCCATTTGCAGGAGATACCGAGGAAATATCACAAACTTTGATAATAACCAATGTGTAACATCCTTTCAATTTTGATGCCACTGGTAGTGTCATCCTGCCAGAATGTTCTATAACGCATGCCCTAAGTAAAGAGAAACAGTTCTGGAACATGTGTAATACATGTTTGGCAGGCCGGCTGGTTGGGTGGCCAGTTGACTGGCCAGCTGGCTGATTTGATTTGGCTGTCTGTCTGTATCTATCTCTGTCTCTGTGTCTCTGTCTATCTCTGTCTCTGTGTCTCTGTCTATCTCTGTCTCTGTCTATATCTGTCTCTGTCTATCTCTGTCTCTGTCTCACAAGTACACATAAATACAGTTATACATAGTGTAAATTATCTAGGATAACCCAAAAAAATCCAGACAAAGTGTTACACTATGCTTATAGATATAAGGCATAATAAGCATGACTGGCAAGTAATACACATTTTCACTTGTTCAGGAATCATGTGTGACAACTCTGCATCATGTGTAATACCTGCTGGTTCATGAATGGCTCTCTCTGAGACAGAGAGACAAGTAGAGAGACAGGAAGTCAGAAACACAGGCAGACAGAAAGGCATATAAGCAGAGACAGAGATAAACATAGATAGACAATGTTTATGTGTAACAGTGAAAAATAAGGCCAAGGCAGTGCATGACCATCAAATATCACTCCACTGCTGCCCTGTCAGCAGTGGAGTGACACTCATCTTACACTGTGCTTCAAGGAGTTTCATATATACTCCAGCATTTCTTAAACATTCCTGGGAACTGACAAAAATCATTTCTTTTTTATAAATACAGTTTTCTTCTTTAAAAACCTGTAAGAAAAAAAAATTGGGTTTTTTTTTTTTTGGGGGGGGGGGGACTGGAACAGATTAATGGCATTTCAGTAAATTTCATTGAGGAAAATTGATTTGATATACGATAAATTGAGTCACTAGCTGAGTCACGGAACAAATTGAACTCATAAGTCAAGGTACCACTGTATTAGAGTTTTCAAGTGAGTCAGAAGCTCAAGTAGAAAGTTGTCTGTACATAAGTAATAACTTAAATAAATATATTTATTTAGTCAAGGCTTTTTTTTTTTCCAAATTGCCTATATCCCACTAAGGTAGAATAATCCAATAGCTGTATTGCCAGAAGTGCATTTACATCACAATTCTAATAACCTTCTATATTGCAACATCCATCCTTTTACTCTTGAGTGTTGTGCAGGCATTACACTTTCCACCTCCAAAACTCTAGTTCATTTAATCAGTTTTTCCTGAATTCCTACATAAATGTTACCTTCAGTATCCATCATGTTGTATGTGTAGTGCAGGTTAACAAGACTACTCAAGCTTGCAATTTTACAAAATTACAACCTTAAACAACAATCTTGTTACTGTTTTCAGACAAACTCTTTTAATACATGATATCTAGCAGTCTTTCTATTTCAACTGTCCATCAGCAAACATTTGCAGAGCATACATGATACTTTCCAGTAACTACAACTGCAACTGCTACCCATCTTCAAAATAGATACCTAAGTCTGGCCTGGAAAGGCGAAGATAAATATTCAAATATTCTTACCAAGTTAACCTTTGAGAGGTGTTAGCTTCCCTCTATGGTTTATTTAGCAGGTAACTACTTAACACCTAGGTAGTAGGTTGGTAGACAGCAACCGCCCAGGGAGGTACTACTGTCCTGCCAAGTGAGTGTAAAACGGGTCCTGTAATTGTTTTACACGATGGTAGGATTGCTGGTGTCTTTATTATGTCTCATACATATGCAAGATTTCAGGTGCATCTTGCTACTTCTACTTATGCTTAGGTCACACTACACATACATGTACAAGCATATATATACACACCCCTCTGGGTTTTCTGTTTTTTTTCTAGTTCTTGTTCTTGTTTATTTCCTCTTACCTCCATGGGGAAGTGGAACAGAATTCTTCCTCCGTAAGCCATGCGTGTTGTAAGAGGCAACTAAAATGCCAGGAGCAAGGGGCTAGTAACCCCTTCTCCTGTATAAATTACTAAATTAAAAAAGAGAAACTTTTGTTTTTCTTTTTGGGCCACCCTGCCTCGGTGCGATACGGCCAGTGCGTTAAAAGAAAGAAGAAAGAACTACTTAACAGTAGAGGAACTCTTGTATCAACATTGCTCAGACACATTTTGGACACCTCTAAACATTTTCAGTCTTGTACAGGTTGCCCTCCCTATGCCTTCCCTACTAATGATGGCAAAACCTTTTAAAATGCCTATTCCTTATCCGAATTGTGCTTGAACTCTTTCAGCCTATTTCCATTCATTCTCTGCATTCTTTAAGGAACACAAGATCCACCTCCTAAAACAGGGCATGGCCATATCATTGACCATCTCATAACTGGGCTACCCAGGTATTCGTATGTTTTAATGGCTTTTCAACTAATGTCTGATACACATACTTCTTCTCTATCTTGTGTACCTGGAGTTTACCTGGAGAGAGTTCTGGGGGTCAATGCCCCCTCGGCCCGGTCTGTGACCAGGCCTCCTGGTGGATCAGAGCCTGATCAACCAGGCTGTTGCTGCTGGCTGCACGCAAACCAACGTACGAGCCACAGCCCGGCTGATCAGGAACTGACTTTAGGTGCTTGTCCAGTGCCAGCTTGAAGACTGCCAGGGGTCTGTTGGTAATCCCCCTTATGTGTGCTGGGAGGCAGTTGAACAGTCTCGGGCCCCTGACACTTATTGTATGGTCTCTTAACGTGCTAGTGACACCCCTGCTTTTCATTGGGGGGATGGTGCATCGTCTGCAAGTCTTTTGCTTTCGTAAATGAGTGATTTTCGTGTGCAAGTTCGGTACTAGTCCCTCTAGGATTTTCCAGGTGCATATAATCATGTATCTCTCCCTCCTGCGTTCCAGGGAATACAGGTTTAGGAACCTCAAGCGCTCCCAGTAATTGAGGTGTTTTATCTCCGTTATGCGCGCCGTGAAAGTTATCTGTACATTTTCTAGGTCGGCAATTTCACCTGCCTTGAAAGGTGCTGTTAGTGTGCAGCAATATTCCAGCCTAGATAGAACAAGTGACCTGAAGAGTGTCATCATGGGCTTGGCCTCCCTAGTTTTGAAGGTTCTCATTATCCATCCTGTCATTTTTCTAGCAGATGCGATTGATACAATGTTATGGTCCTTGAAGGTGAGATCCTCCGACATGATCACTCCCAGGTCTTTGACGTTGGTGTTTCGCTCTATTTTGTGGCCAGAATTTGTTTTGTACTCTGATGAAGATTTAATTTCCTCATGTTTACCATATCTGAGTAATTGAAATTTCTCATCGTTGAACTTCATATTGTTTTCTGCAGCCCAAAACTGAAAGGAACACTGTCATGCAGATTCGGGTGTCATCTGCAAAGGAAGACACGGTGCTGTGGCTGACATCCTTGTCTATGTCGGATATGAGGATGAGGAACAAGATGGGAGCGAGTACTGTGCCTGTGGAACAGAGCTTTTCACCGTAGCTGCCTCGGACTTTACTCTGTTGACGACTACTCTCTGTGTTCTGTTAGTGAGGAAATTATAGATCCATCGACCAACTTTTCCTGTTATTCCTTTAGCACGCATTTTGTGCGCTATTACGCCATGGTCACACTTGTCGAAGGCTTTTGCAAAGTCTGTATATATTACATCTGCATTCTTTTTGTCTTCTAGTGCATTTAGGACCTTATCGTAGTGATCCAATAGTTGAGACAGACAGGAGTGACCTGTTCTAAACCCATGTTGCCCTGGGTTGTGTAACTGATGGGTTTCTAGATGGGTGGTGATCTTGCTTCTTAGGACCCTTTCAAAGATTTTTATGATATGGGATGTTAGTGCTATTGGTCTGTAGTTCTTTGCTGTTGCTTTACTGCCCCCTTTGTGGAGTGGGGCTATATCTGTTGTTTTTAGTAACTGTGGGACGACCCCCGTGTATGTAATAAATCTGAAAGGCTTCTGAATTGCTTTCTCAGTTTCCAATTCCATGCAGGCTACTCAATCTATTCTTGCTCCTCAGGTGATAGCAGTCGAAGTTCACACTGGGCCACCTTCCTCTATTCCTGAATCTTTGGTTTCTCCTCCTCCATCTTCAAGATGGGTCCCCTTTGTTGTAGTAAAGAGGTTCTTGATCTGAGGAATTGGCCTCTTATCTCCTTCCTTTGACCAAATTTAAATTTCCCCAACCCTCCAGGAAAGTAAGGAAATGAATATGCATGGATAAGGAGGGAGGTCAAGCGGCAATACGAGAATGACATAGCTTCAAAAGCCATATCTGACTCAAAACTGTTGTACAGCCACAGCAGGAGGAAAACAATAGTCAAGGACCAGGTAATCAGGCTGAGGAAGGAGGGAGATACAAAAAATGACAAAGAAGTATGTGAAGAGCTAAACACAGAGATTAAAGGAAGTATTTTCAGTGGAGACAGACTGACCCACAGTAAACCAGAATGGTAGGGTACACCAACAAGTGCTGGATACACTACACAACCAAGGAGGAAGTAAAGAGGCTGCTAAATGAACTAGGGACCTCAAAGGCAGTGGGACCGGACAACTTCTTTCTGTGGGTTCTAAGAGAGGGAGCAGAGGTGCTGTGTGCCACTTACAACAGTCTTCAACATATCTATCGAAAGAGGGTAACTACCCGAGGTGTGGAAGACAGCAAATATAGTCCCAATCTTTAAGAAAGGAGACAGGTCACTGACATGCATAGTATGCAAAGTCATGGAGAAGCTTATCAAGAAAAGACTGGTAGAGCGCGTAGAAAGGAATGAGCTTATACACGATAACCAGCACAGTTTCAGGGAGGGGAAATCCTGTCACAAACCTACTGGAGGTTTATGACAAGGGGACAGAAGTAAGGCAGGAAAGAGAGGGGTGGGTAGACTGCATTTTCATGAACTGTAAGAAGGCTTTTGACAGTTCTGCACAAGAGATTAGTGCCAGAGGCGTCGTAAGGGGGGGGGACGGGCCGCCCCGGGTGACACCATTTAGAGGGTGACACCATAGAGCCTCTAAAGAAGGTAACATTAATGACCAAAACCATGCTGCAGCAACCTAAGAGAAAAATTCTTCGTTTCTATATAGCCTGTTATAGGATTACATAGTACAAATAGGCCTTTTCTTCTTTCAACAAACCAGCCGTATCCCACCAAGGCAGGGTGGCCCAAAAAGAAAAACAAAAGTTTCTCTTTTTAAAATTAGTAATTTATACAGGAGAAGGGGTCACTAGCTCCCGCTCCCGGCATTTTAGTCGCCTCCTACAACACGCATGGCTTACGGAGGAAGAACTCTGATCCACTTCCCCATGGAGATAAGAGGAAATAAACAAGAACAAGAACTAGAAAGAAAATAGCAGAAAACCCAGAGGGGTGTGTGTATATATATGCTTGTACATGTGTGTAGTGTGACCTAAGTGTAAGAAGAAGTAGCAAGACGTACCTGAAATCTTGCATGTTTATGAGACAGAAAAAAGGACATCAGCAATCCAACCATCATGTAAAACAATTACAGGCTTTCGTGTTACACTCCCTTGGCAGGACGGTAGTACCTCCCTGGGTGGTTGCTGTCTACCAACCTACTACCTAGGACAAATAGGCCTATATAAGGAAAATCATTGATTTTGATGATGTGATAGATGATTTTGCAGGATTGAAGGCAAGGAAATGAACTATCAGATTCTTTGAGATGTTACCTGCACTCAAGGCTAAATCGGACCTAGTGTTTTTCTTTATTTTTCAAGATTTTTTTTCATTGTTGAAGATGAATAAATGTAGGATCTGTTGCTTGTACTCAGAGTGGTATTTGAGTTTATGTTTCCTCAATATTACTACGATTATTTATTTTATCATTAATAAAGTTCGGTTTATGGCCTTTAAATGTTCTCATTGCTAAACATTAGTCACTGCTCATGCAGCAGTGATGTAACTGGAGTTTACTACCCCTATCCCCCCACCCTTGGACTTCATGGAGGTGACACCAAAGATGCTGCCCCGGGTGACACCAATGATTCCGCCCTGGGTGACACCAACTCTAGCGATGCCTCTGATTAGTGGACAACCTAGAAGGGTAGGCAGGA